CGTGGCCCCGACGAATTGGAACTGAATGATTTGGAAAGGTCCAATTAAAAATATTAATTTAACACAAATATAAAATATATGATTTATGGCTATATGAAATGCGTGTATGATTTGTTTTAATTACTAAATATTCTCAATAAACGAAGTTAGTTGGAAAGCATTTATTACAAGGCAAAAAATCTTCTACACTATAATCTTACATCACTTCCTACATCCATTGCCAAGATTTTGGCACCGGGCCGAAACAGGTTTATCCGAGGGTGGCTTAGGTTGTTAATAAAATTTTTAAAAAAGGAAAGAAGTAACTGAATATAAAAATATAAAAAAAAATTATATGGTTATTACTTTAATAAACGGGGTCACTTGAGAAGATATTTATACAAGATGACTTAGAACGGGATCAATTGGAAATGTCTAATTAAATATAAATATTTTTTAACAAAAATATGAAAGTATGAATTTTTATGACTATATAAAATACATGTATCATTTGAAAAGTTTCAACTAAAAAAACGTAAAAGATATATTCAATAGTAGTTCAAGAAACATGGTTTATTTGGAAAGGGTATATTATAGGATGAATTGGAAGGAGCTAATTGAAAACACATAATGTTTAACACAATCATAAAATGTATAATTTTTGTGGACATATAAAATGCTTGGGTGATTTAATTTAATTACTCAATACTCTCAATAATACTTCAGTAAACGGGGTCGATTAGGAAGGGTTTAAGTACAAGGCAAAAGATCTCTTACACCATAATATTACACCACTTCATACATCATTACGAAGTTTATGAGACGTGGCCCCGACGAATTGGAATGGGATGATTTGGAAAGGTCCAACTAAAAATATTAGTTTTTAACACAAATATAAAATTTATGATTTTATGGCTATATGAAATGCGTGTATGATTTGTTTTAATTACTAAATATTCTCAATAATATTTCAAGAAACTGGGTCAGATGGAAAGAGTCTATTAAAAGGCAAAACAATCTTCTACAACACCACTTGCTTCATCCTTTACAAAGATTTTGGCACCAGCCACAGCGGATTTTTCCAAAGGACGGTTAGGGTGTTAGTAAATTTTTTAAAAAAGGAAAGAAGTAGCTGAATAGAAAAATATAAAAAAAAATTATATGGTCAATATTGTTTTAATAAACTGGGTCACTTGAGAAGATATTTATTAGAAGATGACTTAGAACGGGATCAATTGGAAATGTCTAATTATACATAAATAATATTTAACAAAAATATGAAAGTGTGACTTTTTATGACTATGTAAAATACATGTATCATTTGTTTCAGGTACTAGATATACTCTATAATGCTTCAATAAATGGGGTCACTTTGGAAGAGTTTAGTACAAGATGAACTAGAACGGGATCACTGGGTAATGTCGAACAAGTAAAAAATTTAAAACAAATATAAAATGTACGGTTTTTAATGGTTGTTTAAAATGCATATATTATTTATTTTAATTACTAGATATTCTCAATAGTATTTCAATAAATGAGGTCACCTGGTAAGAGTTTATTATAAGATGAATTAGGACGGTATGATTTGGAAAGGTCCAAATAAAAATAAATTTATTTTTCAAACAAATATAAAATGTATGATTTTTCATTGTTATAAAAAATGAATGTATGATTGGTTTCAAGTACGAGATATACACAATAATATGTCAATAAGTGGGGTCACTTAGAAAGGATTTTTTATAAGAAGAATTGGAACGGGATATTTTGGAAATGTCTAACTAAAATTAAATATTTGTTTTTAGAAAAATATAAAATGTACGACTTTTTTATAGTTATATAAAAACATATATGATTTGTTTCAATTACTAGATGTTTAATTGTACTTCAATAAGAAAAAAATCATTTTGGGAGGGCTTATTACAAGATGAAATAAAACGGGATGATTTGGAAAGGTACAACTAAAAATATTAATTTTAACACAAATATAAAATATATAATTTTCTTACTATATGAAATGTGTGTATGATTTGTTTTAATTACTAAATATTCTCAATAATATTTCAAGAAATGGGGTCACTTGGAAAGGGTTTATTACAAGGCAAAAATTCTTTTACACTACAATTCTACACTACTTCCTACATCATTTACTAAGATTTTGGCACCGGGTCCCTATGGGTTTATCAAAGGGCGGGTTAAGGTGTTAGTAAAATTTTTTAAAAAAGGAAAGAAATGATTAAGTAAAAAATATAAAAATATCATAGGTTAATCGTACTTCAATAAACGGGATCAATTGAGAACGGTTTATTACAAGATGGCTTGGAACAAGATCAATTGGAAATGTTCAATTGAAAATAAATAACTTGTAACACGTATATCAAATATATATGATTTTTATATATAACTATATAATACATGCATTATTTGTTCCAAATACTAGATATGATCAATAGTACTTCCATAAATGGGGTCACTTGGGAATAGTTTATTACAGGATGAATTAAAGGGGGTACTTGGGAAGAATTTATCACAAGATGAATTAGAAAGGGATCATTTGGAACAGTTCAACTAAGAAAAAAATAATTTTTAACACTAATATAAAATGTATGGTTTTTTATGGTTATATAAAATGAATGTATTATTTGTTTGAATTACAAGGTCTGATCAAAAGTAATTTGATAAACGGGATCACTTGGGAAGAGTTTGTTATAAGATGAATTGGAACAGGATCATTTAGAAATGTTTAAGTAAAAATAAATAAGTTTTTCACTCAATTTAAAAATTTATGAGTTTTTATGACTATAAAAAGTGCATGTATGATTTGTTTTATTTATTATATATGTTCAAGAGTACTTTAATATATAAGCTGGATCTCTTGGGAATGGCTTATTAAAAGATGAATTGGAACGAGATCATTTCGAAAGTTGTAACTAAAAATAATTAATTTTTAACATAAATATGAAATGTAGGACTTTTTATGGCTATATAGAATGCATGTATGTTTTGTTTCAATTATTAGATAAAATAATATAACTAAAAATTATACAAAATTAGATCTACACCCCGCGTGCAACGCACGGGCCAGTACTAGTCATTGATAAAATCAATAACTTTCTCTCTATAAAATAACAAAATTTTGAGGTTCTACGTGTATTAATTTATAGAATTTTTATTGTAGTTATAATGGGTCTGCACATGCGTGGCTAACGGTTACACTAGTTATATATATAGGCTGATAAAAATTATGTTTAACTGATGTGATCGGTAAAAATTTTACAGTGATTGAAATATAATATAATATAATATAATCAGAGTGCCCTATCCAAGTATGTAATATTACTAAACATAAGGAAAATTCTTTGACTGAGTACTTATCTCTCTATTTATAAAACTATATTGAAATCTTTCGCCGTATCGTATTTTGCTTGCAATTCTTATTTATTTCGTTTGACATGAGCCAAATAATAGACAGTTTCATCAAACTCGAGGATCCCAAAATTGTTGCTTCTCCATCAATTTAGTTGGGCAAACCTTCTTATTCTAAATGGATGATCCCAGAGAAACCTCAATTACATTTGAATGAATATAAGAACAAGTTCATAAACCTTATCTAAGCCAAACACACTTTGATATTGATGATTGAAATAGAGGGCACGCACGAAAGCTGCTCGTACAATCAATCAATCAAATAAAATTGTAACGACTACATATAATAAAGAAAAAAAAAACAGTCATGCCACAACTCACCACTGAAATTGTTGGTTCAAATTTTTCCCTATAAATACCGAACAAAATACCATCAATCAATCAGTTGATCAACTCCAAATATATACATTATCATATCAGAACTACCAGGAGAAGAAATGGCAGACAGAGATTCAAGCCCTTCAGAAGAGGTTCAAGCGCAGCTTGCAAAACAACTGAAGGAGAACAGGGAAATGGAGGTTTCTCTGATGATGCAAGGAATGCTTTGCTGACGGAGAAAGACTCCAAACCCTTTGCCTGGCCAATTGGAAAGATGTGATCGAAATGGCCTCTGCACCGAACCACCTGTTCCAAGCAGACGAAGCAATTTGGGTCCGGGCCATTTTAACAAACAGAAGAAATGTACTCTTGCTAAATTAAATAAACAAGACAATCAGTTTAACACAGAAGTGATAATTAATATTTTAATCGTTCTATACGGAATGAAATGCACGAAACCTATAATTAAATGTTTCTTCTAATCACCTAATATCTCTCTCTAGAATTGCCCCTAGCCGCAATCTCATTTTTTCCGGCCACCATGGCCGGTGAACATCCTTGGGAAGCCCCATTGGGCTTCTCTGCACCTTCACTAGCTACTTCCGCAGACCCCCGATGACATTTCTTCTCAGCCGTTGCTAATCAAACTGGTTTCATTCATAAATGGAACCCCGGTTCTTGAGTATGAAGATGATGAATGTGAGCATTTAATTGCTCCTTATCAGATCAGTTTAGTTGGAAAGTTTGCCTATAGAAGGCCGAAAATGGAAGACATTCATAAAGAATTCAAGAAATTGGATTCAACAAACCTTACACTCTAGGGTTGATGAACTCTAGGCACATCTTAACTCGGTTCGAGCGCGGAGACGACTATCAACGTTGTTGGATGCGTACTTTCTGGAATGTTGCTGGCTTTTCCATGAGAATTCTCAAATGGAAACCGGGATTCAAGTTTGAAGAGGATCCACCAATAGTGTCAATTTGGGTTTCGCTTTTGCGATCTTCCAATTGAATTCTTAAACCCGGAGGTTATCTTCTCCATGACCACAGTGATTGGAAAGCCGTTGAAAGTTGACGCCCCCACATTGAACATGACCCGTCCTTCGGTGGCTAGGTTTTGTGTGGAGGTTGATTTGACAAATGAGTGACCGAAGTCTGTCAAAATTAGCAAACGAGGAAGAAAACATGAGCAACTATTTACGTATGAACATGTCACATTTTATTGCTCTAAATGTTTTAAGATCAGTCACAAAGTTGAGGATTCCAAGAAGGGTTTGCCAATGAAAAAGGTCGGAAAAGGCAAACAACAACTGGATGAACGTGGAGTGAAACAAACAAAACCCTCGCAGCCACAGCAAGTCGCGCCCTTGCGCGTTAGGATTTCTGAGAAGGCATTGGACAATGGAACTGAGAAAAAGAATTCTGCTGCTGTTGGGTCATCATCTGGCTTGACTGAGAAGGAGAAGACAACAATATTTGTGGATATTCGCGATCCCCCCCCCTCCCGAAACATAACTCCAACTTGAAGCCGCAAATGGTTGACATTGCGGAAACCCTAATCGCAGGCTGCGAAACTCAGCCTTGCGGAAGCTCCACTCCTGCGATCTGTGCGACCGGTTTGGATGATGCGATGCTCGCAAGAATTGAGCATGAGACCAACACCCTCTCTGTTGATGAAAATGACCCCCCAACAGCCTCAATCGGAAGTCGCTTTGAACAAACGAAACCAAGCTACGACGACTGAAAATCGATTCACTTTGTTGGGCACGATTGATGAGGTCGACTGTGAAAATCAAGAAGATGATGATGATCAGATTGAAGAAGTCTATGTTAAGCAGCCTGAAAACATAACCTCTAATGAGGTGGAAAATGCCTTGCAAAAGCTGGATAGTGATGCTCCTTTATGCCTTGGCCAAGTTTTGGATGATGGTGTTGTTGGTGTCAGCTCGGATTTCTTGGAGTCTGAATCAAGAAATCATGCCTGTTGGTCTGAAGGGGATCAGAGAATGTGCTGGTTAATGATTCAGACAAGGGTTTATTCCATGAAGATGTTATTGTGTCGAGAAAGAGAGGCTTGAAATCAAAAGCCAAAAATGCCGAGTTACTCAAAAAGGGTGATCCCTAGACGATCACCTAGGTTATAGTAATATGTCCTTTTTCCCCTTAATTTTTCCATGTTAAGTCAACTTATTTGGAATATTAGAGGAATTAAAAATCAAGAGCATCCCAGCGACGTTTGAGAATTTTGAGAAATATGTATAAGATCTCGGTTTTGTTTATCTTGGAGCCTATGGTTTCTAGTAGACATATTGATGATGTTAGACGAGAGCTTGGTTTTGAATTTGTTTTTTCCTCTGAAAATAGCAAAATTTGGGTGTTTAGTAGGAATGGTTTTTATGCTCACTTTGTTGGAGGATTTGGATCAAGTCCTTCATTTTGAAGTTACTAGTGCTGTGGTGAATGGAACTTTTTATTTTTCAACTATATATGCTAAATCAACTAGGATGGAGCGTCGCGTGTTATGGCAGCATATGAATATCTTTAGATAGCTCCATCCGTTGGCGCCTTGGATGATTGGAAGTGACTTTAATGTCATTCGTTCTTTGGAAGAGTATTCTGGATCTTCCGTTCAAGATTTAGCAGCCATATCAGAATTTAATGAATGCATTCAGGAATGCAACCTTGATGAACTCAACCGGTTGGTGAAGAATTCACATGGGGAGATACTCACCAAATAGGATGGGTTAGTAAAAGGCTTGATAGAGTCTTGATAATGCCGGAGTGGTATGATTTGTTTCCGGCTTCTTCACTTGAGAACCTAAGTTGTACTACTTCTGATCATTGTCCAATGCTTCATTTGTTTGACACCCAAATGGCTAGCAAACCAAAGTTGTTCCGATTCCATAAAATGTGGTTGAGGAGGCCAGATTTCCTTACCATAGTTGACCAGAATTGGGATTTACCAGTGGAGTCTTTTGGAATGTTGGGGTTCTCACTCAAGCTGCGTCGGCTGAAGGCTAAATTAAAGGAGTGGAACAAAGAGACATTTGGTGACGTCTTTGTCAATTTAAAAAAGGCTGAGAAGAAAGTGTAAGAGCTAGAAGGAATTTTTGATACATCGGGGGCAAGTCATGATAAGGGTGCGTTTGAGTGTTGCTACGGCTGAGTTGCTTATGAGAATCAAGGAACATGATGACTTTTGAACTCAAAAAATGAGGGTTAAATGGATGAAGGAAGGAGACTCTAACACCTCCTTTTCTCATGCTTCTTTGAAGGAGCCAAGGTTGAGGCAAGGGATTTTTAAAATCCAATCTGAAAATGGGGGAATGTTGACCAATCCAGCGGATATTGAAAGAAGCTGTAGCCTTTTTCTTGGCTCTTTTCAATGACAATGATATTGATTCGGCTTGTGAAGAAAAGCAAGATTTGTTTCTTGATCATATGCCACGGCTGCTAGATAATGAAGATGGGAATGATTTATTGAGGCCTATTCTGCTTGCAGAGGTGAAGGAGGTTGTTTTTAATCTTAGTGAAGATAGTCCTCCGGGTGTTGATGGTTTTGGGAGAATGTTCTATAAAGATTGCTGGGAAATTATTGCGAATGATTTGTGGCAAGCTTGCCAAGAATTCATGCTTGGTATCTCTATTCCCAGGCTGATCTCAAGTACTTTGATCACTCTTATTCCAAAGAAGACTGTGGTTTCCACTTTTGCTGATTATAGGCCGATTAGCCTATGTAACTTCTTGAACAAAGTCTTTACTAAGATCTTGATGGAGAGACTTAAAATGGTGCTTCCAAGAATTACATCAGAGGAGCAATCTGCCTTTTTGCATGGGAGGGATATAATGGATAATGTTTTGTTAGCACATTATCTTTGCCAATTTCTGGTGCGCAAGGCGGAAGGTCCCATCTTGTACTTAAACTTGATATGATGAAAGCCTTTGATAGGGTAAGATGGAGCTTCTTGGAAAGAGTTATGTTAAAATTTGGGTTTCCTATCCCTTTTGTTGCTTGGGTGATGAACAACTTGAAAAATGCTTGGTTCTTGGTTATAATAAATGGGAGTACAATTGGATTCTTTAAATCTTCTCGAGGTATTAAACAAGGAGACCCGTTGTCCCCTTATCTCTTCATTCTTGTCTCTGAAGCAATGAAACGACGCTTCAAATCGTTGGTGTCGGATGGTAGAGTGGCTGCCTTTGACACTCCGGTCGGTTCCTTGCCAGTTTCTCACCTCGCTTTTGCAGATGATGTGATCTTCTTTACAAGGGGGCTGAAGAGATCTTTGAAGGAGCTGAATGGGTTTATCTCGGATTATGAAACAGCTTCTGGTCAAAAAGTGAGTCAGCCAAAGAGTTCTTTTATGGTTATGGAGAATTGTAATGCAAGAAGTGTGGCAATAATTGAAACGAATCTTGGCATTCAGAGAGGGACGTTTCCTTCACATATCTCGGCTGCAAGTTATATCTAGGCAGAAGGAAAGTGTCCACTTTCCAATTTCTACTTGATAATCTTGATAGGAGACTCCTCAGCTGGAAAAACAAGCTACTTAGCCAAGGTGGTCGGTTAGTATTGATTACACATGTTTTTAATCATCTATTCCGGTCCATGTGTTTCGTCCCTTCCTCCTCCGAAGTCGGTTATTCATGAGATGGAAAAAAAGGTGCCAAAAATTCATTTGGAGTGGCATGAATGAAGAGTTTAGGTGTCATTGGAGATCGTGGAATAATATTACTTTCCCGGTTAATGAGAATGGCTTGGGTATCCGGAACTTTAATGACTTTATAGATGCTTTAACGGTGAAGTTATGGTGGAAGTTGAAGAATAATATTAGGATATGGAGTCGTTTCATCCATTCTATGTCTAATACATTTAAGAACAAGACCTCTTGGCGGAGGATTTCTAAAGTGGAGAATAGGGCGATTGTGCATACAAAGGTCATTGTTCGTAGGGAAAATCGTTCCTTTTGGTTTGACAATTGGTCACCTCATGGGCTCATTTTGGGACATTCATGGATTGCAGCCACCTTTCCCGGAATTGAGCATTAAGGAGTTTTTCCACAATAGGCAGCATTTTCTTCCACTTTTGCAACCATCTCTTTCGGATGGCATACTTCAGTTCCTTGTGGATCATGAACAAGATTTCATGGAGGGGGAAGATCTTCTTGTTTGGCTGCCTACACCTAAAGGAGACCTTACAATTAAGTCTGCCTATGAAGCATTTAGGAGGTGGGGAGTGGAGGAGAATTGGACAAAGAATGTTTGGAATCATATAACACCTTTGCGTGTTTCTATATTTTTGTGGAAATTGCACAATAAGCTTCTACCTTTTCCAAAATTCTTAGCGTGCATGGGGATCTATTGCTATCCTTCTTTATGTTTGTTTTGCAGGAAACATGATGATGGAATATATCACTGTTCCTATGGATGTGAGTTTGCACAGAACATTTGGCGACAGTTTTCTTCCTTGATGAGGGTTCATTTCCAAGGTGCGACTACAATCTTCTCTTTGTTAGGAAGATGGTGGTGCAAAGGTGATCTTAAATCGGCTTATGGTACATTGCATAAGGTTTTACCTTCTATTACCATTTGGGAGTTGTGGAAGATTAGGAATAAGGTCTTTTTTGAAGATGTTCATCCGCATATTGCCTCCACTATACATGCTATTATGGATCATGTGCGTGGGTTGATGGTGATACATGATCTTAGAGTTTGTAGTGAGGAGGAGAATGCTTTTTTCTGGAATGTTTTTCATGCCACCCTTAGGCGAGTTGGCCGGCCTCGCGTCCTACAAGTTAAGTGGCTGCCTCCAGCCCTTAACTCTTACGTTCTTAATACAAATGGTTCCTAAAACCTTGGGGAGGCAAGTTATGGATTTGTAATTAGAGGTGAAGGTAAGGTGGATATCTTGGAGGAAGTTATAGCTTCAGAGCGAAAATCTCTGACATTCTTTTTGGCCTAAGATGATGCGCGCAATTGCACCTTTTTAATGTGGAGATTCAGACAGATAACCAAGTCTTGGCTTTGACTCTAGCCAAGAGTTCGGGTTTCCCTTGAGGTATTTTTTGTATTTACAGGAAATGTCTTCTATAATTCGAAGGAATGGATTCCGAATTAGGTATGTGTTTAAAAAGTTAACTCTGTAATGGACTGGCTAGCTAAAGAAGCTGCTTCTGGGGCGTCCCAAATTTATTTTTCTATGGATAGTTTGTCAAGCTACGTAAAAGGATTATTGATTTTAGATCAAGAATTCTTTCCCTATCTTCGAAGTAGGAGCTCTTGATGTAATCGTGGCTAGTCTATATGCTACCACTTCTCTATATCTGAATTAATAAATTTCAGGGGAGGGACGAATCTAGGGAACTAGATGGTATGTATGTTCATCCCTTGGGTGCATTGTATCATTTAGCACTGACTAATTTATAAAATAGCTCTTGGATAGACCCCTTCAGTATTTTATGAGTTAGTTAGGACCTGAAAATAGTTCCAAATCCCCTTTTCTTTGTTTAGGAAAAAAAAAAAGAAAAGAAATGCACGAAACCTACCCATAGAATACAATCATCAATCGATGGTGTGCTAATAACACTCCAGAATTAAGATACTAACTTGCAATATCAGGAGGTCGAGGGTTCGATTTTTGCTGGGCCATCTAATTTTCTTTTTTTAAAAAAAAAACCTGCAGTATATATGTCATATAAAAGAATAAATAAATAAATAAATAATAATAATAATAATAATAATAAGGGTTCGGCACCGCCAAAAAATATCAAATTAAGGTCACAGAATTTGAATGTGCAATACAATCATAAGTCAAATCAAAAGATTTTATTAACACTAAAAATAATTAAAAAATCAGTGATGTGTAAACCCAATCCAAGGGGAATTAATTTGAAATTTAAAAAAAAAAATCTCTCCCTGATTTTAGACGCACAGGGGTGATTTAAATGCTCTCAAAATTAAAACTGATGAAGCTTGGGATGCAAAAGGCTCGCATGCCTTAGAAATTTACTCTCCCCATGGAAGTTCGAAATCACACTGACAATGTTTCTGTCATACAGTTTGCGTTGGGTTCCGCGATTTATCCTTCAATAAAGCATTTGTGATGATAGGGAATACGAGTCATGTGAAAGAAAAAAATGCCTTAAGAATGAGCCAAAAGAAGTTTGACATTCTCTATTCTGAGAAACTCCCATTTCGCTAAGTTTGGAACTTTGGATTGGAAATGTTGCTAATGGACTGCTCATCTTCTTTCAAATAATCTACATCATTGGGTCAGAATTGTATATGATGCCATGAATGAAGCTGTGGCCCTCTTTTCGTGATGGAGAGTGAGAAAATTTTCGTGCCACTAGTAATATTATTGATTAAAAAAAATTTTAAAAAAAAATCTGGGAAGCAAAAGAATTTGTTTTGAAATCGCATATCTTCACGCGATTAAGAAAACATTCTTAAGGATAAATCTCCTTACGGCCTAAAATTAATAAAAAACAATCAAAATCACTTTCAATTTTTTCTTTTTATTAACAAAGTTCTTTATTTTTCATGGGGGGGGGGAATATGATTCACAGATTGCAATATGAGAGATACTTTACCCACAACTTCACGCAAACAATATAATAATGTAAGCCCAAATTGCGTTCAACTCAAGGGTTGACGGATTGCTAGCTTAGATCTTTGTTGCTATGGTCTTTGGATTCTCTACACAAACTTGCGAGCAAATTATTTGTCACCTATCCTATTTCACAGTTTCTTTTCGAGCAATGTTTATTTGCATTTTTTTTTTTTTTAACAAAAGGAGGAGGCTTCCGCGCTCTGCCTAAGGCTCTAAAAATTACATTGGGGGAATATGAAATCCCGACAAAATCATGAAAAAGTCATAAGTCAACCCCTCAGTTAGGTTGTTGTGTTTCAGTTTATTTATTCATTCATTAATTGATTTAATTTTGTGTTTTAATTAAATAGCTGCCTTTTATATTGTTTGTATGATCTCAACAAGCGGCACACATAAACATTTTCTAAATAATGTGGTCCAATAATTAATATCAATCCATCTGGCTGTATGATACTCCTCAAATTCTTATTATAAACTATTTTGATGTAATGTTTCAATTGAAAATAAATATTAAAAAATTATTTTCAAATTTATTGTGTTCTTCGAAAAAGTTATAAAATATTTTTAATTAGAAAAACATTATAAATGTTTAATAACAAGGACACTATTATAAAACGATGATTTATAATCAAGGTTTAGTCTCCGTTAAACAATTCATCCACTACTTTTGCCTTTGTGTTTGTGGCCACATCTATCCCTACACTACACGTCGAAAACAACAGATAACAAAATTGATTTAAAGTGTTTTCGCATCCAGGGGGAATTGATAGGATCTTTCCCAACACAGGCACATAAACAAATGATAATTATGAGCAAACCTGAAAAGGAGTTCACTTTCCAATTCAAGTTGTCTGCTGCTGTTGGAAAAAAAAAATGCATTAACACTTTCCCAAACATAAAACCACAGCTCTAAAAGCCACATCTTTTCGTATATGAGACGCAATCATGTTGAGCTCGTTTTGAAGTAGACCCCGATAACCAAATTCATGCATCTGTGGAAAAATTGTTTACACAAGTCCAGAATTCCCGCATTGAAATTTGCTTGTGATATATGTATATATTAATGTTACTCAAAGCCATTGAAGAAGAAACTTCCTTTAAAACCTTCAACCAGTTCACTCATCTCTCGAAAAGTTCTTCATGGTAAAAAAAGAATTGATCTTCATCCCATGGCCTTTGATGGGTCATTGGGGACAGCAAGTTGAGCTTGCAAAGCTAATCATCAGTCGGGATGCCAATTTTTCCGTCAAAATCCTGATTTCCAGACTCCCTGAATCCATTGATCCGGTTACCAATACCTTGATTGATAATCTCATTAATTATTCCTCCTCCACCGCACCGGCCATTGAATTCATAACCCTCCCTTCAGTTGATCCCACCCCAGAATGGACTTCCTTAAGCAGAGGTTATTTTATCCAGAAACAACTCGATGCCCAGAAACCCCATGTGAAGGAATTCATTCAGCAACGCCAAATTGACGAAACAGGGGAATCGAAAAGACTCGCCGGGATATTGGTGGATATGTTTTCCACTTCCATGATTGATGTTGCAGATGAGTTGGGTATTCCCAGTTATGTTTTCTTTACTTCAGGGATGGCGTTTTTAGGCCTAATGCTCCATTTCCAGGAGCTTCAAGATGAGAACGATGTCGATGTTTCCTCGGAGTTCACGAACTCGGAGATTGATCTGAAGTTTCCGAGTTTTGAAAACCCTGTACCATCCTCTGTTTTGCCGATGGTTTTGACAGATAAACAGATCTGGTTGAAGAGATTCCTTCCATGTGCTCGCGGGTACAGAAGGGCTAAAGGGATCTTGGTTAACACATTTTCAGATCTGGAATCATACGCTCTGGATTCTCTAGATCAACAGGGGAAAAGACTTCCACGAATTTACCCAGTTGGACCAGTTCTGAACAGAGTACAAAATGCCAACCCTGAAATTAAATCGAGCATTATCAAATGGCTGGACGATCAGCCTCCAAATTCAGTAATCTATATTTCATTTGGCAGCTTGGGAAGCTTGGAAATGGACCAAGTGAGAGAACTAGCCACTGGGCTTGAAAGGAGTGGCTATAGATTCTTATGGGTCCTCCGCCGGCCGCCTCCGAAGAACACCATTGTGGATTTCCCTAGTGGATATGAACAATTTTGGGATATCTTGCCGGATGGATTTTTGGATCGGACGGAAAGATATGGAAAAGTTGTGGGTTGGGCACCCCAATTTGATGTGCTGTCGCATGAAGCTGTGGGTGGATTTATATCTCATTGTGGCTGGAATTCCACATTAGAGAGCATTTGGTGTGGAGTGCCATTAGCTACTTGGCCTTTAGAATCTGAGCAACAATTGAATGCATTTCAACTGGTTGTTGAATTAGGATTATCTGTTGAAATTAAAATGGATTTTTCATGCAGAAATGAAAATCAGCGTCTTATTGCAGCAGAAGAAATAGAAAAATCTGTGCTGACGGTGATGAAGAGTGATGGTGAAGTAAGGAAAAAGGTTCGGGAAATGAGAGATAGGAGTAGGACAAGTGTGGAAAAAGGAGGAACTTCCTATGAAGCTCTTGAAAGCTTGATTGACAACTTGCTGCATAACCAGCTGTTAAAAGCTTGATTATGTTGCATTACCAGCTCATGCTGATCGCAGTTAATTTTACATACCTCATCTTCGGCAAAATCGTGCGATTTGCTACAACAAACTTTATTGTTGCAGAAGTAAACCCTAAAAACATGCTTTTGGGAATAATGAACTCTGATTGAATTTATCTTAATGCTCTTATGTTCAGTAGGCTTCTGGTTAGTGCTGATCTTGGTAGTTTCTTTTCCTTGCGTTTGCTTTCTCAGTTTGCAACAATGCTGCTAGGTGTTGAAAACTTTACCTGGATTCTTGCATATCCGTGTATCCTCCACATAGGGACTCTGAAAAACTTAGGGATATGGAACAATGTAGAACCAAATTTCTGCACTAAGCAAGTTAGGTATAGAAGTTAAAAGGAAGTTCAGATTATGCTAAACCTTGTAACAAACATAACCCTTGTAACAAACATAACCGAGAGGGACAAGGCTTCTAGTAATGATATCTTGCTGAAGAGTGCTTCCTCCCTGTTCGTAGCATGAGGTGTGAAGTTTGCAGTCGAGAAAATGATGAATTAGAGGCAGAAATGGAGCTTCTGCGATAAGGTGATTTAATGTCCAAGAACTGTTAGTTTCTCCTCGCGAATGCATGGTTGAAACTCACAGTGAATGAGTGAAACTCTTCTTGTAGGCTCGAAACATGTATCTGTCTTCTACCATGAGGAGACATGTAAGTCCTATCAAACATAAACCCAGCTATTTGGTAATAAGCATTCAAGACGTTTTTGAGTGACAGGCTATTGGATCCAGATATTAACAAAGAATATGCCAGAAAAGGATACGGGGTGGCAGTTTGTGGATTAGGATTCAAGACAACTCTCAACCTACCAGTTCCTTCATTTCAGTGCATAATCGTGTGATATAACAGATGGGAACCAGATAATAGTGCGAGAAAATGCCTAAGAATGATGCCAAGCTGTTAGTGGTTAAGGTTTCAGAGAAGCTCTCTTATTTTGGTAAAATTTGGATTGGAAATAATGTCAGATTGCTCATATTCCTCAACAACTTAACATCTACATTTCTGCCTACAATTGTTATCTAATGCACTGAAAGAAGCTTGGCTCTCTCATCTTAATGGAGTTAGTTTCATTTTCCAGTCTGATTCTGGAATGAAATAGCCTTCAATTATAACCCTATTGCTGGTTGAATCAGGATATCAAAGGTGAGGGTAGTAGTCTACGTACTTCAGTGGTCTTCTGCTAAAAAGAACCTTGAAGTCAACCTAGTTTATCTACAAGCAATATGCAAAATTGCTAAGGGACGCTTTCCTATCTGAGAGCAAAACTGTATCTAAGCTGCTTCAAGACTGACATTAATATTATGATGTGTTTGCAAGACCTGTAATGAGAGAGTTGTACAAGCTATAGGATTAGGATAGCGGTGACCGGCTAAGAATCCTTAGAGGACGATGCAGATCAGATATAGGAACCGGCTTAAATAATGATCAAGCTATCCGTTCCCTGATTTTGTTCAACTAAGTGAAAGATGGTCTCTTTTTCCTAATTTCAGGCACATAAGAGTTATTTGAACCAAGTATCTGATGCAAGCCCTGAGATTGACTGCTCAGTTCTGCAGTGAAGAATCATTCCGGCTCCCGCTCTTAACCTTGCCTTCATCGAACCAAATTTGGACCGCAGCAAAACAGCGTAGATTGAATACCAAAAGAGTTTCCACTATGATAGATTTTGAAGGAGAAATTCATCATTCTGTAAACTGGAATGAAGGGCATCCCATATTCCTGGAATGTCATTCCATACATCATCAAGAACTAAGAGAAACCTTTCCCCGCGGAGCTCTACCCGAATTGGTTGAATTATAGACTCTTGACTTGACATTTTAACCTACATCTCCCCTTAGTGACCCTAAAATCAATCTAGAGGATCTTAGCAGAGTAGCCACAATGTCAGTTTTTTCTTCAGATCTTCCGACAACAAACTCTGGAGCAATAGAGTTGCTTTCTCGACTTCTTTTGAGTTTTTCAGTACTATTGCTACAAGGAGCTACAGAAGAAGTAGAAGCAGGTTCAGGGTGCAAACAAGTTCTGATCAACTCAATCTCTGTGGCTTTCAGATTGCAGCTTTCCAGATTCTCATTGACCTCACTGATCTTAGAACTCAACACTCCTACGAAAAGCAATATCATGTTGAGATCCCACTAGGGTTTGTGGATTTCACCTTTCGGCAAGAATCTCATAGTTGAGCTCACTGAAAATGTTGTCAGCATCAAAAGCCACTCTTTCAACCTTCTCCAACCAAAAATGCACATTTCGCTTTCAGTTTGCTTATCATCAGCATCGGCCAAAACAGCTTGGACCATTCGAGCAGATTCTCGCAAGACTTCCAATTCCTTCTCGAATCCAAACACCAAAGAAATCCTATCAGTAGCAAGAGATATTGCCTTCTCCAGCAGAACTTGTATAGTGGCACCAATAACTGCATCCGCCATTTTCCTTTTTCTCTTTTTTTTTCTTTTTTTTTTTTTTTGGTCGTCCTTTCTTTTAAGGTTTGTGATGTAGGAATGATATGGTTTATCAGGAATAATGCCTTTGGATCAGCTCTGAAGAAACTAGAGTACGGTAATGGACATAATCAATGGTCTTTATGTTCATATAATACTGATTCGTTCATTTTCTATGGAGTTTCCACGCAGAAACAAATTTTTCACTTACCTAATCTTTTCCACTCATCAAAGCCTTTTTATATTTGAAAAAGAATTAATTACATAATAATGAAAACAAAGATATCTGCAAATTGCCTAATAAAAAACTACCCCTTTAACTAAACCCTATAGCCATCAACTCTCCCTCTTTGATTTGCATGAATAATTGATTGAAAGTTCAAATTAAACTGACTCCTAAGACGCAGTTGTCACGCGCGTAATCATTAGCAACAGTTTTTGAGTTCAAAATTTGGGAGTCCCCTTCATCAATGTAGCTCAATATTTTTATTTAGTTTCTTCATTAGTTTACTTTTGACCAAAAACGAGTAAAAGTAGATGATAGAACAGTGTCAGGATGCCAGCGGTCTGGATGGTCATGAAGTTTTTTTCTTTTTCACAATTTTCTCATTGCAGATCTTGTAAACCACAAATATATCAGCGATTACTTTAAGTGTTATGTGGTGCTTTGATCACCAACACAAAAAACATCCTAAGTGTCTTTTACTGTCATCCGACTGAGAACTTCTGTATGTACAAGAACTAGGTAAAGTGTTGTTCATGAGTTCTCAGTCAGCAAGTCCATTTCGTGCCCAGATTCAATGACAAAACCAAGGCTGAAAGATGCCAACTAAGGTCATTAATTAGTTCCCCAATCCGATCAAATTAGCTAGAACGGCTTGTAACACTAACATGGTACGTTTGGAGTTTGTACCAGATGAACGATCCCAATAATGAACCTAAGAGCACCATTGAACTTGATTGTTTCCACGTTTTGATATTTGTGCAATTTCAATCAAATTCAAAAGCGTAACCAATGATGAACCTTGTGTCAAAGGCTAATGAAGTCGGCAATCTTTTTTTTTTCTTCTCTGTTGCTGGTGCTCATATACATCATTTATTTATCCAGATGTAAACGTTTGTTCCTTTATTATGTAGCAGTATTGTAATGGTCGTACATCTGTATTCATTTCTCAAAGTGGCAATTTGCTATGTCCTGGAGTTAACAGGCTGTGTTAAAGAAAATTAGGTCGTAATTTGTGTGTTCAGTGTTAAAGCTACTAAAATGAAAGTAATGAAAATGATTTCTTCAGATAACAGATTTAACCTAAAATTAATGCACATCACAAGTCTTCGCAAGATCGCCGAGCCATCAAACCGTGCGGGCTAAACCTGTCTAGTGGCTACAGAATGTATTGAAACAAATGGAACGGAAAATAATGTCAAAAAAGGCAGTCCAACAAACAAATTGCCACTTCCACTAGTGAGAAATTTTGGAAGGAAAATCATTAGTACGCAAGGAAAAATAATCAAAACACTTCCAGCTACGTTGACATTATCAACCTACTTAAACTTATCCTGTTAACCGGTCTTCTGCTCCGAAAAAAATAACTACCAAAATGAAATGCAACAAGTAGAGAGCCAAATTTGACTACATTTAGGTAAAGAAAGAGTAAGAAAAGATCAACAAACAAATATACCATCTGAATCTTAAATTCTTACTCCATTGGATCATATCGTCATCATCATACTACATACTCTCCCTATCAATAGCCCTGGTCAAAACTTTTTCGCATTCACGACATCAAAATGGTCACTATGGTAGGGATGATGTATCGAACTTCATAAGGATAACCATTTCTATGTACACTATTTCCTCATCATAAAGAAAAACAATGGTGATATATGCAACTAACCGTCTAAACTTTCCTGTGTACATCTCTAGTATCAGCTAAATAGGTGCCGATTGCCAGACGCCCTAGGGGTCAACTTTCTCATGCTTCTACCATTCAGGGCCAGGTAAAATGGATTCTTACTGTCAGTAATCCTATCCTGTAACAAAAATAGCCTTATTGGTGAGATGCAAGATTCCCCACGCATCCAATGCCCAGGTCTGGCAATAAGTTTTGATATGGAGAGAGGGAAACCTACTCCTCTTCTACTGTTTAATTTCCCAGCCCCAAGACAATATCTTCCAAAATTTTGCGCAGGAAGATGACTCCTGCTCTTTTATGTTGTAAAAACTCAAGCCATAACTCCCGATTTCTATATTGACACTTCTGTACTTCGTATTAACTCAAAACTTCTGGCAAAAGGAAGTGTACTTATCTTCACAATCTATACAGGCGGGGAACATGGTGCACGATTGAGGTCAATGCGTGAATTGTAGCCCACATATTTTAAGTAATGAATTCCTTCATTATCACTCTACTTCACAGCTTCAAAGAAAAGGACCTGAGGTTGCAGATGTCCCTTCTCACACATGATGAGAACATCCTCCCAGCCACCAATTACCTATTTCACACAATTCAATTTTAACTCGTCGCGTTACAGGGGGAGAAAGAAAAAGTACAATGTGCACAAACAAAGCACACCTTCACAGTGTTGTCATCATACATGACCCATCTTCCTCTTTCATGGCTGTAGGCAAAACAGTGATAATGCTGACCGTAATAGCAAACCTACACAGAGAAGTTCGTATAAAAATTAAGCTGAACCCACAACAACCCACTTAAAGATTTATTAAATCCAAAACCTCTTATGATCAGAACTTTAATAAGTTCTAAGAACTGTTCAACTTCGACACAAACAAAAAGTGAATGCAAAAAGGCAAAGCATTCTCATAGCACCTTTGAGGCTTTGATGCAATAGAAGATGTTTTGATGGGGACAAGGTATGGTAGAAGAACCCCATCAGTAGGTTCTTTCATATTTATGACCAGGATCATCATGATTCGAGGAGGAAACCAAAGTATGAGACCTTAGGTTAGCTTAATCACGAGTACTTACAATACGCAGGAATATTTTGTTATTCTAGAATAAGGGTACTTCAGTAATTCTGCGAGGTTGCAGGATTTTCCTGGAGTACTGGTTCCCGATTATTGGTATTTAGTTTAATTTCCTTATGGATTAAGTTTTAGGTCGTCAAAAGAAATTCAGTTTTAGGAAGCTAATATTGAATTACCTATTTGCTGCTGGTTTAGGCCTATATATATGTACCTCGTTTGAGGGCTTTAGACAGTTATGAAATTAATAAAAATTCCTGCAAGCTTTTGCTTTCAACATCAGTTGTGTGACTCAACTAAACCCTTGGTGTGATGCCTAGGATTCCTGCGGTGTGTCGCCAAAGGGCCTAAGAGTGATTCTTAGGTTTTCTTCTTTTTCCTACTGTTTTCTTCTCTTTTTCCTACTGCTTATCTCCGTGTTCCTGCGATTTCTACCCTTATTCCCTACAGTTTTCTATTGATTTTCCGCTGCATAATACTCTTTAATCAGCCTAAGTTCTGATTTCTTAACCGCCATGCTTTGTCCTGCGTCATGTTTTAAGTCCAATTAAAGGAAAATCAAAGTACAAATATCCTGAGTCAAAGAGAACATGCGCAAGTTCATGAATTAAAGAGAGAGGAGTAGACCCAAGAAAGGTCAGTATCCAGCTAACTACAGTAACATTACATCAGGAAAGGGCAGCAGGACCAAGGTAGATTTTAGAACATGCATATGCACAACATAAAATTATCATAATGTTAACATCAACTTGAGCTTAAGGACAAGAAAACTTCCCAGTTTAAGGAATATAAAGTGTTTTCCTACTTTTAGGGAATATGGAGAGAGGGGATGGTAAAGGTTGAAGCCCTTAAGCAAAAGTAATTGCTAATAGTTAACAAACAACCCAGGACATATAGATTAAAAAATTAGAGGCGATGGTACGGAGAACCTTAGGACTGAAATCACCAACAAAAAAACAAAAACAAAAAAAAGAAGAAGATAAAATCCTAGGATAAAGAGAATAGTTGAAGCATTCCTTTATTTAGGAAGCTTTAGAAATTTCAATAGTCTTAAGTGGTTATTTCCAGAGTAGAATGGTTTCAAAGAACAGGAAATTCATGCAAGTATGTTTCAATAAATAGGTAATATACTGCAGACCTTTTTTTGAGCATTTAAAATCAGTCATCAAATAGGAGATTTGTACAGCTTTTACTTATTCATAACTGCCCTAAAAAGCTCCAGTGTTCAATCATGGATCAAAGTTTTCTTTCTTTGTGTTCTTCACTCAGCATCACATTCAACCAATACATTACTCAAATATGAGTAAGATGATTTAATAATGAAGCTGTAGAAAATGGCTAGCATAACTGGATACAACAAATTTAAAAGAAGCATCATTTTTACACCGTCCATCAGATAAAAGAATAAGCTGGTAATTTTTCAACCTCACCATGAGGAAAGTTATGCAGTTCCCATTCCATACATAATCTTTGTAGCTTTCAGGTATTGAACATGATCCTTTATTATTGCCTACTTTCATTTATATTATCCTAGTGCGAAACAATTTGAAAGCCCAAGTGTTTTGGAAATAACAATAACAAAATGGCACAACATGAAATCTCATAAGCGCCTGAACTTTGATCCCCATGATTCTGCTGCCTTATTAATGCAAATAATGTTTAAAAGAAAAAATTTCGAAATTCAAGATAAAAGTACTGACACTTCTGTAATGGCAGAGTTTAATGCCGCAAAAACAAGTCACATTCTCAGAAAACAATATAATTATATACAAAGCAAATATCAGCGGAGAGATTATACGAATGTTTACCACTGAAACCAAGCGATGTTTATTTTTGGGATCAAGACCACGGTAAAGGATGCTGATGTCCATCTCAGTAGATAATGCTGTCAGTGTCGCTCTTATATCATCAACATGCTCACAGGTATTTTGCCAACCCAAAACTGCAAGCATCAAAAGTAAATTTATTCACAGCTCTACATTAGAGAACACAACACAGTAGTCTCTGTAACCATTGGCATAACAATGTCCAGAACTAAGGGGAGAGTAGGAGACAAGAACATGCATTAATTTAAAAAGAAAACGATGTCCAGAACTAAGGGGAGAGTAGAAGACAAGAACATGCATTGGCTAATTTTAAAAGAATAGGCACCTATAGTGAAGACATGCGGCACAGTTGAGAGAATATGATGTATATAGTTAAGCGTCCCACAGCCACTAGCCTCAGGATCACAAGCCAACTGGTGATTCATCTCAACAAGGTTCAGAAGCTCATCAAATGAGTTTTCTGGGCACATGACCTATAAAAATATACTCAAATGGGTAAAACAAAGCAGTCTAAAAGAGATCCACTGCATTACCACTCTTATACAGGATAACATTAAAATGTCTGATGAAACAAACCTTCATAGTCCGGAGAGCACTAGCATTGATATTGTGAAAGAAAGAAGTATATTTTAGATGTCTGGATTCCAGACCACAGTTATAACAGTTCATTCTTTCGAAAATGTCCATCCCAAATAGAGAATGTGCAATGCAAGCACCACTAGCACAATCCCATGAACCCATGCAGTTACTATCCACTGATTCAGCATCAGAAGCAACTAAAGAAGGCGTGAATGATCGATGCAGGCAATCAAATATGACACCCAGAACCTCAGAAGCATCATTCATTTGTCCCTGCATATGAAATTTAATCAAAATGATTGATTTACACACTATAGATGAATAACAACCAAAAGCATGAAGACAGTTTTCAAAAGTTTACCTCTTGAAAGAAATTGCTATCTGGATACAAATTGCTAAGAGCAACTCTCAGTGAAGTGGGTGCAACAGCTTCTTTTCTCGAATCAGTGGAAGCAAAGCTAAGTGCAGTAAAAATTTCATATAATGCACATGTCACACAAGGATCACCCACATGAACATGTTCTGCTGATGAACTTTCTAGAAATTCATCTCGAAACCGTCTTAAGTGCCACAAAGACTGAAAAGCATAAAAGCAGCTCATCACAATACAAATCTCTAGTTGGTTAACTTTAAACAGAAATTGAGACCAAACTTTGAAGACATCAAAACAAAAAGCTTCAATACCACAGGAGAGATATTTGCTAGACATACCTGTATAATAACATTGAGAAAACAATTGTATTCTCCCACTTCATTCTTCAATCCTGTCCCACAGGAATCCAAGCCTTGTGTCACACGCTCATCAGCAAAAACATTTAAGTCAGCAAGAACAGGAGACATCATCAGTGGATTTGACAACTTTGGCCCAGGAGGCAGTTTCTGGAGCTGATGAAAAGAATCTGAAGATAATATGGACCATCAATATCAGGCAGAACTGAGCAATGTCAGATGAAAAAAAAGGACCACTAAAGCTACAAGCACACTCATGATATCAAAGCAGCCAAAGGACTGCGGAAAGTTGCTCCAGCAAAGAAAAGAGTGAAAATTACAAACGTGGCATAACAACTAGTTAAATGTTTTACCCTCCAAGTTCTACTTTTCCAGTCAGCACTGTTAGTCAAGTAAACCCTGCTTATAATCTAACAACAATTTTAACAAAGCCAACTTATGGTTTAACCAAAAAGTTAGAGTTGTAGAAAAGACGGCAATCTTTTTTCCAACAGGATTTGATTTAACATTTAACTGGAAAAAAAAGACAAACATACAAGAACAATCCCTATGAGGCAGGTGATCCTCATACGAACAATCCCTACGAGCACGTGGACATATGAAAATAGAAGTTTTCATCAGAGAGAGTTGTAAATAGACAGCAACCACGCAAAAGAAGAGAGCTTTCAAATCTCATTAAATCAGCTCTGCTGCTACGCATATGATTTGTAGCACATGCGCAAAGGAAAACAACCAAAGCATAAGAAATTAAGATCACTTTTTCCAGGAATATGCTCTCCGTGGAAACAACTTTTGAGGAACATTTGTGCCCAATCACTCTGGGCCAGAATTATTGAAAGAATGACTTGACCTAGTGAGAAGTTATTAAGAAAATGCTATAGATTATAGAAAGCAAACTTAGAACAGGCAATGAAGTGCACAAAAAGAATGATCACTACAAGAAACAAACAAACGGAACCCACCAAGACTTTGAAGCACTGCTTTCTTGAGATCAGCTTGGAATCTTTCTTCATCATCTTCCTCAGCCTGCAGCTGTCTCAATGTCTTTGTTCCAGTATCTAGAAAGTAGTAAGAGCAATGTCACCATTCTATTAGTGAATAAAATCAAGAGAAGTCCTTTTTTAAGTAGACAATGTCAGAATATGTTTTCTTACAAAGATAAAAAGGAGAAAATTAACGCAGGATTTTTTACTTTATCTTTTTTTTTTTCGTTAACTAATCAGGAATATTTCAAAGGCACGTAAGCGGTAAAGATTACTGAAAGTATGAAACTCAAAATAGAACAGTTCAGGAAACAACTCTAAGAAAGAATTAGAAAGTTAAGGGCAGGTATGGATAGCATTTTTTGTATTCATATGGTTTTGCAACTAAGTTAAGAAGTATCAAAAAGTTTTATTTTCAAAAAAAAAAAAAAGAAAAAGTACAGAGTTGAATTGGGAAAGAAAACTGTGTATAAAGAATATGAAACTATAAATTATACAATGAGAAATGACCCGAAAATGTGAAATAAGTTGGCATTGCATGATGCACACACAAACCCTCTAATCAGAATGTGTTCAGTGATAAATTATCAGTTCAGAAATGGTATGCATTACTAAGACCTGCGAAAAACGAAGTAAATCAGCATTATAATCATTGGACGTGAAATTTCAAAACAGCACCTAAAGAATTAATTTCACCACTGCACTGCCTAACAGCAAAAGGAGAGAACAATAATGTTAATTGCCAAAGAACTGTTTACAAACAAAAGCCCCATAACTCCCCGACATGACATATTCTATCAACTAACACGAAACTCAATACTTACAACGAGTCATTCCACCAACAACTTCAAGAATAAGTGGATAATTAAGTAAAACAAAGTAGAATTAGAAAGAGAATCACACATAAATATGTGAAGCTGAACTTCATGATTACTACAATTAAAAAGCTTCTTAAACCTCAAAAAACAAAATACAGCAGGATAACAGAAATCGAAATTGTTTTACTGATTATATATTAAGTTGAGTAGACAAAAAGATTCATGTGAAAATAGATGCAATATAAATTCAGTTAACGGCAGCTTAGACAAGATAGGAACACAAAGAAAGAAAGAACACAGAACTAAGGTTCAATCTTCCCCCTGATCTAGTGCAAGAACTATTTAGGGTTAGTTAAATTTCCGATTCGGAAATATCAGCTGACCTCCAAGAACAAGAGAAACAATAAACTTTAATTAAAAAATGAAAAAAAAAAACCGTTTAAATTTAAAGCTCCCAGAAAAATGTGTGCACCCACCATGTGATTCCTCACTGGTCTTGAGTTCCATATTTTCCTTTCCTGATGACAATGGCTGGATCTTTCCATCAATTGATTTAGCAGCACCTTTTTGCCGCCTATTTCTCCTTCCAGTGCGTCGTTCAGAAAGTAAAAGGCCATCGTCTATATTCCCCCCCTCAGGCAAGCCTGCACAATAGCCATAAAAGAGAGAGGTTAGAAGTTACCACTCACTCACAAACAAGGTTCTACGATTGAAACCAACTACCTCGTGGCAATTACAACTCCCAAATTAAAATGATCCCCTTTTTACATAATAAACTCTAGAGAGAGAGAGAGGGGGGAGAGGGGTATAGGGTACCGTTCGTTTCTGCAACTCCTCCGACCGTATTCTCAGGTAGATCACCCACAAGATTTGAAATTCCATTCTTGACTACCATATGTTCCTAAAATAGATTCCAGATCAGAACATATATCAGTTACATTGATTCTCAAAGGCTGATGAGATTTAAGTACCATGAGTATGAGAGGCACCTTTTTCCCAAATATCAATTGACCATTGACATCATGATGATCTTCTGACTGTATCAAGGAAGAACTAGAGCAAGCAATGGCCGACATTTCTTCAGAATTTGTCTTCACAGATCTCTTGTATTGCTCAGCGAGATGCTTCTGTTTAGCTTCATTCTCAATTCGTCTTTGATACTCCAGAGTTTCTTCAAGCTTTCTCTCCTCAGCTTCAAGTTCAATTCTTCGTCTCACTTCCTCTTCCTCTGATTTCGAAGTATCACCATTAGCAGCATTTATGACCTCAGCATCAAAATCTTCTCCCTCATGTAAAACTTCGAGAGAGCTGCAACAAATAAATAATAAAGATCGCATATAGAACTGTTTTCCCATGGGTACAAGAATTGAGAATTTTCATATGACCATACACAAAAAAGAGGAAAAGGAAACATACACATCCTCGGTAGTCTCATTCTGAAGCATGTATACGTCACTGCCAGTATTAACCTTCAAATGAAAACAATACAGTCAATGAATTTTCGAGCACACAGATACAATAAAAGGGATGAGAGTGCTAGAGTGGAGTAAGGATTATCAAATAAAACCACAACCAAGAGATTAGAACCTTTGAATCCTTTGTTTTCCGGAAATCCTTGTTTTTCTTCTTATCTTTTGTTTTTTCATGCATATGCCTCAGATTATCAGGAACTCCATTGTTACCCTTCTTCGAATCAAGATCAAGTTCGGCTAAAAATGCTTCTCTGGCCGCGTCAGATTTCTCTGTGGCGTCTCTCTCTGCCAAATCCTCCAAGTGCGACTGGAAAGTAACATCAACAATTCCATTATACTACCATAAATAATTTAACAGGGATTAAAAGGAAAACAAAAAGGTAAAGAAAAATTCAGATACAAACCCGCATATATGACTTCATAAGAGGGACTAAAATTGAACGGTAATCATACGCAGAAACCGGCTCAAGTTTTACTTCAAACTGGTGCATTCCAGCAATAACTCGCATAATTCTAGCGTCAATTTTGCTGAGCTGCAATGATAATAACATGATGATGAGGTTTGAGTGCAAACCTTCCACAAACAGAAACAAAAACCAAAAAAAAAAAAAAACAAAACAAAAGATAATAACAAGAAAGCACCAACCTCAACAGACACATGTTCCTTCTGTCTCTGAATACCAACTTCCACGCAAGAATCAACTTGGTGCAAATAATCCTTGGTCCTCCAGTCATCGTCCTCACCAGATTCAAGGTCATACAAGTGAGATGTCATCCCATTGTAAGTTTCCTCGAACCCAAATTGATTGACATTCAGAGAATCTGCTTCCTTCAAAATATTTGATATGGCTTCCAACTCAAATCGATTGCCAATAACAAATTCGTTATCACATTCAATGAGCTCCTCCCTTCGTTTCCTCAAGACGGCCTCATAACTTCTTCGGACAAATTCTGTGGAATGCTCTCTTTTCTTACCTTCCTCCAAACAGAGATCTTCAGCGGCCTGTAATGCCTCCTCATAACTTAAATGCTCCAATTTTCTCTCACATAATCCCTGTAAGTTGTAGAATTCTTTTTCCAGCAACTGGAGGATCTCCAAACCATGCTGTTCTTTCTCTTCTCTTCCCCGCATCCAGGATACCATTTGATCCCCACTAGAAGGTCCCGTAAAAATCCAGGACAATAAAGCATCAGAATCAAGTAAATACGGATCCTCATTGGTTAATCCATGAATATGAGAGCTTCTCTTTTCTGGCAGGAAGCGGTCAACTAAAGTTAAGTATAAAGCATCTTCACTCAGAACTAACTTCTCCAAAGCTTTTACACCCTGAGTCCCAATGTTTACATCGTCCAAGGAATTTCCTTTATCATGATATCTACCCAACCCACAACAATGATAAAGGTCTTGCAGAAACTTCAAAATCTTTTTCAACTCTGGAGCTTCCAGAAAGCAGATGCAAAGAGGAGTTTGATCAATGTTACAGTTAAGAAGTTGAGAACCAAATGCAATACCTTGCAACTCCTCCACAGCAAATTGCATAACTTTGCTGAGATGACTTGAAGCAAGGTATTTATGTTTTACCAGGGCCTCAAAAGTGGAATGTATTCTCTCGAGTAGCTTTGCGCGCTCAGCATCATCCGACAATGGCCAGTCATCGTGAGAAAAGCATGGCTTACTTTCTTGGTTTTCATCACAATCCATCCAAACAATGTCAGAATACTTCTCATACTCCTTGCTCTTGATAATAACACCATTGCAACTATCCCCTGATTCCCTTTTGCGAGGGGACGAATCCCACTCATCTTCATTGCTGTAACTATCAGCAAAGCATTCATTAGAATCATCAATCTCATTTCTATGATAGGGCCTGTCTAGAAATTCAGAATCGTGACCCTTTGGCAGTTCTCCAAGGCTTTTTAAAGCACCATTAACATCAAGTGGCTTCCACTTACAGGCTAAAAGCATTTCAGCCCATTCATTCTCTATATTTTTGGGAACAACTGCCTCCATCTTTGGCAGTAAACTCCCCAAGTGTTCGTGTATCACATGATTTATGAGGGATTCTGCATATACAAACTTTTCTTTACATCGGCAGCAAACAAAAAATCTCCAGTCTCTATTAGCTTCAGCAAATGCCAATGCTTCAGAGATGACCTCAACTGCAACTCCATCTTTTAACGAATTAAAATGGCCCTTCAGATCTGAAACCCTAACACTTAATAACTCTTTCTTCTTATCCAGACTCATGGAGTTCCAGAATGCTCTAACCCAGTCCTTTCTCTCAGCTGAAGAAGCATTCTTTCTTCCACTTTTCCGTCTCTCACCTGATCTTGGTCCTGGACCAGAAGAGGAATCTATTCCCTTGTCTCCATCAGCCTGTGAAATGGGTGATTCCGACTTCTGTTGCATTAGTCTTGCAGCCGCCACACGGACCTCAATCTCTTTTCTCCTCTCCTCAGGTGTCTTAGTCGCCTTCTTAATCTCATTTGGTCGTCGATTCTGGACCAGTCTCAATTCCATTGGATCCTCAGACACTCTACGTATTGGAATCAACCTAAACTTCTCTTCTCCAGTCCCCAAGTTCTTCATCCAAGTAGAAATGGATGCAATATTTGACTTCTGAATCAAAGACCGAAGCTCATTCTGAACATGAGCAACCCTAGCCTCAGCTGGAGCCAACTTGTGCTGATTCTCATCCTGCAGACTCTCCTTAGCGGGATCAACTGGATTCTCAATAGCCAATGCCCTCTCGCACTCCTGAACAACCTCTTCATATTCTTTTCCCTCGTTGGCCGCCTCATACAACAAATTAGCGTAGAAATGAGAAAACTCAATTGAATTAGGGGATAGCATAACCGCTTTCCGTGCACTATCAATTGCATTTCTCAAGTGCCGTTGCTTCGCGGTAGGATCGTCAATAATGGTCGCCACCTTCACACAGACCGTCCCTTGAACACGGTGAACTAAAGCTGAATGTGGGGAGCTATCATACTTAGAAGACAGCTCCTTCATTAACCTAAGAGCTTTCTTATGGTTCCCCCGGCGCAAGGCCGTCAATGCACGCTCACATTCAACTTTAACATTAGCATAGGAAGAAGAAAACGCAGGAGATGACAGCGCATTATGAACATTTTCTGATTCAGTACCTAACAAGGACGCCGCAGCTTCACTTCTGTTATACAACGAGATTGCAGTCTCCTGCGGCTCGTCTACTACAGAACCACCATCAGTAGCCGCACCAGCAGCGGCGGCGGAGGAAGAAGACACCGCCGCCGCTGGTGCAGATGAAACCGAGGGTTTGGAATTGGAACGAGCAGCGAGGTTTCGCTTCTTATGCCCCATCAAGAATCAATTTCCTCTACAGAATCCACATATATGAATACATCAAAACGCGTAAATCAGAACAAAAAATTGAATCAAACAAAAGAATTGGGAAAATGAAAAAAAGAAAAAAAAAAATCTGCGGCACACAGTCATCTAGAGAGAAAGAAGATAGAGAACAGAGTGACGACTTACTTTAGGGGCAAAGAGAGAGAGAATGCAGAGGCGAAGTTGAAAGTGAGGAAAGACAGGGAGTCCTTGGGAGCATGAGATAAAAGAACCGATCAGCGGAGGAGGAATGGCGGTGGTCGATGGTGGAAGACGGTGGTGCTGGGTAGTGGTGATGGGGGGGTGATGATGGGGTTTGGGGGATTTGAGTAGCCTTTTTTGAGTTATATTGGTGTTTTTTCTTGTTTTTGTTTCGTTTTTTGGGTTTTTAATTTATTTTGTGTACTATATTACTGAAATGGTGTTTTGCTTGTATGTTAGTGTGTGAGTGTGTGAATACCTAACCCCGTGGTTGGGTGAGTAAGGAATTTTTATTTTTTTTTTTTTTGGTTAACGAGTAAGGGGTTTTTGGATTTGGAGGAGGTTGGACCCTTCCACAAGTTGGATTGTTAATTTATTTTTGTAATTTTTATATTTTTCTTTAAATTCTTTTATACTATTTATTTTAATAATGCATAATTTCAAAATGATTATTCAGTATGAATTCTCATTTTTAGCACAAACAATACTAAAAGTGAAAATTCAAGCAAAATAATTATTCTATGTCAGAAAGAGTAGTCTTTATTTTTCATTTTAAACACTATAAAATTAAGATACATTTTTTTTATTACTCTCTACAATATTTAATTGTTCACGCTCTTTGTCATCCCAACACTGTTTTTATTTCGCTTTTGGAACGAAAAGAAAAAAAAAATGTTGGTAATTCAGAGTTTGATTTTATCATATACACATTTTGACATAAATGTAGAAAGTGAACAATACAGTGAATGAAGAGTTTAAAAAAAAATAAAATTTGTCAAGAGTCTAATAGCTTATTCATTAAAGTTAAACTGGTACGCATTATTTGGAAGTTTTATAAGAGTTAGATTTTGCTAAATTTAACTATAATTTAGAGAAACGTTAAGATGGGGATGAAACTTGTTAAGGTTATGATTTTAATGGCGGAAGTGTAATAGGGGGATGGACTGAATCTCATAAACATATAAGTTTTGCATATTGGTAGAATCTCTAATCGGTGTTGATTAACATAAAAATTTTCATATTTTGAATTAAGTTGTCGGATTATATTCTTTAGTAGTTGTTATAAAAAAACAATTCTTGATAATTTAGCAGTTAAAAATAAATATGCGAATTGTTATACACAGCGCTAAAGGAACAGAATGGGTTTTAACAAACACAAATCAAGCATCAAGACGCATGCAAATTCATACTCCTTTTAACCAAGAATAATAATTCATAGTGAAATACTCTCTTTGTCCCAAAATTATTGTTCAGTTTGAGATTCACTTTTAGAAATACGACCTTCTCATGTAAACGTAAGTTTCGAGTCAATGGAGCATGTAACCATTTTTATTAAAAGAAAAGAGAAAAAAAAAAAAAAAAACCAGCTATGGTGGGGATCTTTCATAAGTTGAAGACTTGAAGTAGTATGTGTTTGGATTGCTATTACATCTCTTCTCCCAGTTGCTTCAAAATGTGCGTTTTCCCTTAAAATTCCAAAATATTGCTTGGATAGTCATCATGAAAAAACTTGTATTAAAAAAAAATGTTTTTATGGATGAAAAAGACCCACGCCTTTATTTATATTTTGTTTTTTTTTTATTTTTAATGTATAAAGGTAAAAACGTAAAATTGTTTTTTCTATTTTAAATGTATAAAGGTAAAAACGTAAAAAATCAATTACAGTATAATATTGCGAGATACCTAATACTAAAATCAATACTTAGATATACGCTAGTCACAAGACCCAAGGTCTAACACTAACCTTACTGTTTCGACGATGAATTGCGCAAAGGTACTTTTCGTTCATTTAATTTTCTACGGTGAAGTGAAATGTCAAAAGTTAATTTTTGTTAGCAACATGACATGAAAAGAGTTGTATTGAAAGAAAAAAAAACCTTTGTTTTGTTAAAAAAAAATAAAATAAAAAGGGTAAGAAAAAGTGATGAAAACATTGATTTAACCAGTTTTCATATCTAAATTCATTTTCACTAGACCCTAGTTTTACACGATCATATGTTTCTGCCTCGACCCAAAAATCATCTAATGCTCATAAATACTTGCAAAACCAACGTTGATCCATATCAACTTTACATCAGAACTAACCAAAAACCAAAAGATACCAAAACTATTCTCAGCTTGATCTTTACTTCCACAACCAAAATATTTAGGTTAAATTATGCTATAATGCTATTCCCTTGCAACGACAAAACTGCGCCAAAGACAGGCAGGCGCCTTCAAATCGAGACTAAAGCAAATGCATGCGCTCAACATATGATTGCACCAACCATCGGCTAAGAGGTTCTCCACACCCAACAAAACACCCAGAGTTCCCGTTTTCTGTCATGAATGGGAAGCTGAACACATCTAGCAACTCTTGCACTGCCTGTCGAACCAAAGAAGACCCTGTTACCCTGCTCCTCCTGCCCCATCCAGTCACAATGTCAATGCGACTAGGACAAACTCCTGAAGAAAGCATCTGACGGCGAAACCATGCCAATGTCCTTGATAGTGCTATCACAGCAGTTCCATCTGACATGACGTGCAGGTTTATAAGCCAATAGGAAGAGCTCTTCTCCCTGACAGCATCAGGATACACATTCTTCTGGGCAGCAACCTCCCAGACTGATCCAGCTTCCTCCTTGAGACCTGTCTTGTGAAGAAAATCAACTACAGCATCAAAAAGTCCCCTTTTACTCTCCCTATCCTCACTATGCATTAAATCTAAGAAGTTGCTAACATGATCCCTAACATTCTGCCCGTCAGGTCCTGCTGAGGGCATGGACAACAAAAACATATGTGCAGGATGGCTTGTGACAGCCATGAGCTGGCCACAAAATGCCATGTCAAATGATGTTTTGGCTTCTGTACAACAACTAAGGAGCAAAGTGTATGTTTGCAAGGAAGGCTGTAGTCCCAAGCCGAGCATGCTTTGAAGAAGGTTGTATGCATCTGAGAGTCGGTGTACCCTAAGGAAAGCACTCAAAAGAGAATTACACGTAGGCACATTAGGGCATAAACCCGCATCAAGCATGGTTCTATACCATCCCCAGGCCTTCTCTGCATTGCCGACCTTTCCCCAAAGGTCCACCAGAAGCCCATAAACTGGCTCATCTGGAACCCAGTTTTTCCTCTTCATCTCGGCAAAGACTGCTTCTGCTTCCTCTAAATAACCACAATGACCAAGGACTTCCATGACTATGCTGTAAGTTACTTTGTCTGGCTCAAATCCAGCATGCTGCATGTCCCGATACAACTGTAAAGCATTTTGGTAGTTTCTTGCCTTTGCTTGCAGTGCTATCATGATATTGTAGGTCACTAAATTAGGTACACATCCCTGATTAACCATCTCACAGAACAGTTTGTGAGCAGCAGCTAAGTGACCAGCTTTCCCCAGGCAATTGATGATTACACTGTAGGTGAATGTGTCAGGAGAGAGCCCGGCTTCCTGCATCCTCTGATACATATCCATAGCAACATCAAGATATCCAGCTTTAGCATGGATATCAATTAATGTACAATATGTTACACGATCAGGTTCACAACCTACTTTCTGCATCTTATTGAAAACACTGATAGCTTCACTCAAATAGTTAGCACGGCCATAACTATGAATGAGTCGGTTGTATGTTACAACATTTGGCTGGCATCCCTCCATGACCATTTGGTCTAGCAAACTGTTTATTGCTCCAAATTGCCTTGCACGACCAAGTATCCCAACCATCGTGGTGTACGTATGTCCATCATGCTTAAACCCAGGTTGCTTTTTCAACCAGTAAAAGAACCCAAGAGCTACTGTATGATCTTGAAGCCCCTTAAGAATTTGGTTAGCTTGGAAAGCATCTAGAAAACAGTTGAGTTTAGTGAGAGAATTTTCTGCAGCAGGTCCCCACTTCATCTGACGCAAAATTCGTGAAACATTATCAACTGCATGGCCTGATCCTGAAAACTGCCTAGCTGGTGGAGCAAAACGAGTTGGTAATTTGGCCTCTCCCACTGTCTTGGTGAAAGTTGCACTCCTATCTCCAACAAAACTTTTTCCTTCGCTATGTACATCTGCAACATAGTGGTTTGAATTATTCCCAGTTCTGTGAGGCTTCGATCCTTTCTTGTCACGATTATTCGAAGCAAATGGTTTGACCTGTACATGGTTTCTCGTTTCTTTATTTGACAACTGGTCCGTACCTCTGGCGGATGTAAACCTATCAGCTCTACCCTTGGCAAGATTAGAGTTCTGTGAAGCACTTGATCCAGCTGCTTGCTTGGAATGTAGTTTCGAGTGGTCTTTTTCAATTCTGACCGTTCTTGAGTTTCCACCTCCAGAGTTAGTAGGCTTTACATAACCCACGGCAGGAATGGGCTTCAAAAGATCAATGACATGAATTGATTTTGAACTATCGCCAACAGAGTTTGCAGGTGCGCCATGTGATGCACTTCCCTCTGTGAATGGAATCTTGTGATTTACTAAATCAGACAATAAGCTGACAGCTGCCACACCAGCCTTAACCACTTGGTCTGAAATAGGAGGTGATGAGTGCACCGTGCTGGAAGCATCAAAAATAGAATAACTAACACGTTCTTCACTACTCAACGAACCACTAGCTAATGAACTAGGGGCTGGTATAACTTGCGGCTGGGACACCGGATACTGTACAGTAATTGGTTTTGGAGAGTTAACAGCTTCTTGAGCATCTCCAGAAAATACAGATCCTGCTCCCACTGGTCTAGAGATTATGGTGGATGATAACTGCGAATGTGACCCTTCATTTTTCCTCTGAGGCCTTCTGGAAACACAATGCTCATCTTCAGGACATGTGCATGAACTTCCATCTGCAGCACATCTTGACCCACTAAAGAAAAAAGACCTGGCTGTTTGAGAGAGCGTACCAAACTGCTTTGCACGCAGCATAATCTGCAAACCTATTGTTCAAAAGAAGAAAAACTAATCACCATTAGTCCTAATAGATGGCAACAGCCAATCGTGCACAATATGACTGCTTAAGTCCACTCTACATAGAATAATCATTAAATAATTAAATAAAACCAAGACAGGACACAAATCCAGATAGTAGAGAAAAGCTAAATAAAAACTTGTGAGCACTCCAAATTGCTGTATCCAAGTAATCACACATAACAGTTTTATATAAACTTCTCCGTGCAGGGTATAAATGCTTGGAAGAAAACCACTGCACTGTTATACCTCAGAAAGCTACATCCACAGTTTCACACTACAATAACAGAGACTTTCCATCCAATACATGCATTCAACCATCCATGCTCTTACAATCTGCAATCTGTACCTTTGAATTTTAAAGCTTCGAAATAAACAGTTCAGTTGATGAGAGATGAGGAACTTCAAAATTCACTAATTCCAATTGACTATGTAGAAGAAATGGCAGAAGCAATTAGCCAAGATCATCAGTTCATAACAAATGGATGACCAAATCATGAGCCTTTATTTCTAGCCCTTTCCACCAACAAAAGTAAACATAATGTGATGGAATCCAGTGCAAATAAATTAGAATATCCCAACAAAGACTACGCAATATCTCCTGCCCTTTCTATTCCTTACATTCACCATACTTTAAATAAACTGTGAGTACTAAACAACCTTGAATAATCACATGGGGCAGCCTGAGGAAAGAATCTAGGCAGCTACCTATCTACTACACATAATTGACTCGGACAAACAGCAGCTAAAATGTAATAGAGGTTAGCCTACTTATACTTAACAAGAGTACACAAGTAGCCAGGTCTAGCTAGCCTCTGATTACAATAGTAGTCAAATATGCATCACCAGAACAATCCATCCTCTGTTAATGCTACCAAATGCCAAGTAAATTCTCTAATTAGACAGAAAAGGCATTATTATTGCTGGTTTCTTCGAATGACAAGATTAAAAAGGAAGCAAATTTTGACAAGCATTATCTCAATGCATCAACTGATAATGGAATGGAAACTTCAAAGAACATCCCAAAAGCAGTTAGCTCCAGTTTCAACTCAATTCATATTCATAAGCGTGTTAAACATAAAACATCAAGCTTATTATTATGCTCAAAATACATCAACAACACATCTCAATCCATGTAATTTCCAACCCCTCTTTTAAACCAAACAAAAAAAAACCATCAAAAGCGATGGAGCACTAAGAAAACCTAGCAAATTCCAGGTAAACGATCAAAAAAATTCAATATTTAATCAAGATAACACAAGCTGAATAAAAAACTCAAAAAGGATCAAACTTTAACCAAATCCCACAAGAACTCACAGTAAATTCAAGAATCAAAACACAAACAGAGCTAGCCTTTTTCTTTTCCATCTGTAACATCATACTTTAATGTAAATCACAAAGCAAGAATTTCAAAAACAAGTAACCCCCCCCCCCCCCCAAAAAAAAACCCCACATTATAAAAGGCACCAAACGCATTGAAAAGGGTTCATTCATATCATGAGAATCATAAAACTAACCGTAATCAACACAAACCCAACTACCAAAACAAAGTAGAAATTCAAACTTATGGGGCAAACGAATATATACAACCATAGAAACGGAGACCAGAGAAGTGAAGTACCTAAATAGAGGTGCTGTAATTTTCAATGAAATGTATGAATGGAGAAGAACATCAAGGGGCTAAAATGGAGAGACAGAAACAAAAAAGTAGGCGGCTCTAAGTTTCCTCTTCTTCTGCCCCTTCGGTCGCCCTACGAGAGTTTCCAAGCAACTTGGGGGAGTTCTGAGTTTTGACTGTGACGCCCTGTTTTTTTTTTTTTTTTTTTTTCCTTTTCTCCGTTTCTATTTTTATGAGGAAAAAGATTTTTTAAGTAGATTTTACTGTGAACGTTGGAAAATATTAACCACAAGTGACACGGTAGAATGATTGCACTTTTGTCCCTTACGTTTTACTTAATAACAGAATTGTCTTCAATTTAATAGAGAGTGACATTTGTAGTACTTGATTTTATAAATTCCATGGTTTCTTTGTCTTGGAGAAGAAGTTAGCCATTAATGAGGTTGGTATTGCCCCAATTCTGTAACTAGTATGATGGATATTGAGGTATGGATTGAACCTGTGTATTATTGCGAGTGACGAATTATTAATGCTCAATTAATTGTTATTTATAAATTCACAAACAAATATAATTATATGATAAAATTTCGTATGTTAATATTATTCTGTTTATAAATAAATTTTGATGTATAGTTTCACAAAAGCCAAACCATATTAAGTTTGTGAATTTTTTTTTTTAATCTAGAGAATCTACACATATTAAAATGCATTTTTGTTGATCCAATTTTCTACATTTGTTTGTTAGTCATTAATAATATTAATTTAGTCAGATAATATTCTACCTTCAGTCTTAAGTTTATATTATAAATTAAAAAAATTAATCGCCTCATGCCATTGTACTCTAGATTGCTTGAATGATATGTTTCTCATTAGAAGTTAACCAATAATTTTAATAGTTGGCAAGTTTATTTTATGATTAACAATAATAATATAAAGTTACCACACTTAGAATAAGGGTAAAAAGGATAAGAAATTGATGTATTCATGGTACTTTGTAGGCAAATAATCATATAATAAAGATTTGTGTTACTTTTAACAAAGATTTTGGATTCAAACTATGATACTACGGGATATGAGGATTAGTTTTCTTATAAGCCTAAAGTTTGGTGACTAAAAGTCAAATTTCTGATACATGAGGCATGACTGATGTTTTTACAGGCCACGTGTTCATGCCTCAGAGCATTGAATTTTAACTATTTACTACTTTGACTTTATTATTATAAACTCGTGGTACTTGCACAGTGCAGGTAGTTCAGGAAAACCTTTAGTCAACGTTGACTAGGTTTTTAGTTTTCCGTCCAAACTCCGTTTAGCTCCCCTTTTTTACTTTTCACTCCTGTATTTCTTAACAGAAGTGTATATCTCGATAGTATCGAGTTATTTAAGGAAATTGTTAGTATATTTACATTTTAATTTCATTACTCTTTAGGTAATAATTTGGCTTCCTCAAGAAAAGAGAAGGCAATTCGGAACATCCCCAAAATAGGTGCATATAATATCTCAATTTTTCAATATTATACTTTAATTCAAGTTTTCTCTGCATTGATTTTACACAACAAAAGCGTAATAAAAAATAACCATCGTATCATTATTAACCAACATTACTTATAATTGACCCCAAAACAGTGTATTATATAATAATATATAATAATTCTTAGACCATTACAAATTATTACACTCTATTATACATTTACTACTAATGTGGATGCTCTTACAATAATAATACTTTGAAATAATTTTTTTATTACCCTATTTTTTATTAAATTGAACTATTTTTCTAAAATTGAGATAATATATGATCATAAAAAATGCATAAAAGGTACTATTAAATGCATAAAAAGTACTTCCTCTGTCCAAAGTTGATAGTCCAGTTTGGACTTTTATTTTTGAAACGATTTGTATCAAAATTAGACAATAATTTCGGGAGGGAGAAAGTATTACAAATTCCTAACAACTCTCATAATCTAAGACCTATGAAGCAAACACATCCCCTCCCCCCTTCCAAAGGTACCAACTCAATTTCACTCCAACTTTTTTCTTTAAAATAAAAATAAAAATAAAAATTCTTACATGGATAAGTTCTACCCAAATACCCAATTGATATGAAATGAGTATTTTTGCTGACTTCCTTCTTTTCAGTCAGAATTGCTAAACTATGTCACCAATGATGCATGAAAGCATTCTTCCTTCTTCCTACCTAGAGATCACAGATGAATTAATTACTCACTATTAGTTCATCATTTGCCCAAAATCAAGTTAAATATCTTGTGGAGTCGGATGGTTTCCCCTTGGGGAGGGGGGAGGGGGAAGAGAGGATTTTCTAGAATTTTACTTGTGGAAATGTGTATGTTGCATGTAACAAAATTTTTTAAAAATAAATTGTTGCATAATTCGTTTTAGTCCTTCAAAAGCCAACATTACCAAATTGATGTCTCCTTTAGCCATTAGTTACGTGTTTGATTAATAAGCGTTAGAGTGAATATCAAAACGGGTCATTGAACTATTAGGTAATTCTAATAAAGATCATCAATCAAATTTATTTGTATAACAGGCCACCATACTAAGCAAAAAATTCATCCGAGATCATTTTGTTAATTTTGATCGTTAAATAGTGTCGGAAATCTATTTTTCACATGCTCTTGGGTCCATGGATATTTTTGTCATTTTATTATTTTTTAAATTTTTAATCTTTTAAAAAAATTATCTTTTTTACAATTCTTTTTCTTATACTTCCTAACTTGTATATATTGGTAGTATAATTCTAAATTTCAAAAATTTGTTTTACTTTTGTATTTTAATTTCTAATTTTAAAAAAAATTAAGAGATGAAAAAGAAAAATTGGAGTTAAAGTAAACATGAAAATTAATAGTTTACTATTTTAAACTAAAAGAAAAACTAAAAGAATTAGCTAAAACAAGTTGTTTCTTCTAGGTTATTTAATTTTTTTCAACTCGATTAACTTATTTAATTATTAATTTTCACGTTAATTTCAATTTAAATTTTATATATTTTTTCTTATTCCTTTTATTTTTATAATCTAGAAGTTAAGATACAAATGACAAATTAAATTTTAAAATTCCATACTAATACTAGTACTAACATATACAAGTTAGGAAGCAAACGAAGAAGAATTGTAAAACAAAAAATTAATTAAAATATTAATATTTTTTAAAAAATATAAATTGATGAAATTGCCTCTGGACCCAAAAGCAGGTGAAAAACGGCTTTCTGTAATGATTAACACAAAAAATAACCTTAGTGAAACAACATCTCTTAGTTGAAAGCTATTTTGAACGTTAAATCGTGACGGAAAAATATTTTTCACATGCTTTTGGGTCCAGAGGTAGTTTCATAATTCTGTATTTTTCTTTAAATATATTAATATTTTAACTTTTTTTAAAAAAATTCTTCTTTTTTACTTCCTAACTTGTATATGTTGGTATTATAATAATTATTAAATTTCAAAAATTAATTTTCCATTTGTATTTTAACTTCTATTTTATAAAAAAATAAAGAAGAGAAATTCAAATTGAAGTAAACGTGAAAATTAATAATTAGAGAATTAAATCGAGTTGAAAATAATTAAATAACCTAGAAGAAACAACTTGTCTTAGCTAAATTTTTAGTTTCTTTTTTAGTTTAAAATGATAAACTATTAATTTTTATGTTTATTCAACTCGAAATTTTGCTTCTTCATTTTTCTAATTTTTTAATAAAAAAATTTATAATCTAGAAGTTAAAATACAAAATTTAAATTAATTATTGAAATTTAGAAACTATACTACCAGCATATACAAGTTAGGAAGTATAAAAAAAATAATTGTAAAAATAAAAATCAAAAAAATCAAAATTTAAAAATAACAAAATGGGAAAAATATCCCTGAACACAAAAGCATATGAGAAATGGATTTCCGTCACTATTTAATGGCTAAAATTAATATAATGATCTCGGATGAATTTTTGGGTTAGTGTGGTGACCTGTTATACAAATAAATTTGATTGATGACATATATTAGAATTACTTAATAGTTCAATGACCCGTTTTGAGTTTCACTCTAAGCGTTAAAACGGCCATTTTGATGAACATGAAATATAGTGAATACTAAATTGGATATGTATTCACTCTATATATAAAAAAAAGAAATCTATTTTTTCCCCAAAAAGAAATCTATTTGTGTAATTAAAATAGTATAATAAAGTGGATTGTTTTTCTAAATCAAACGGAGTAATTAATTTTCCCCTTGCCCATATAAATCATGCTTCATCCTTTATTTGCAATTGCAACTTTGTTTTCTTGTTCTAAGCATATCTATAGCGCACTTCCAAATTGCTACCCTTTTCTTGTCTTTTCCTTTCCTTATCCAATATTTTTTATTTAATTGCTGTGATCACCTGTGAATGTGATTTTGGATGATTATCTTGTCAAGGAATCAACCACAGCCCAATAATCCCATCATAACTGAGGTATAACTTAAAGTGGCTAAATTTGATTGGGCCTATGGGTTGCTTGATCTTTTCACCAGAACATGAACAAGAAAACAGCAATGTTTGGATAATTAACTTTGTATTTATTCTTTTCTAGCTCTTGATTGTTTTTTTGAATAATTATTGCTCTAAAAATTTTTAACTGTTATAATTATCTGAGAATATGGACGTCAACAAACTAGAAAAGTTGTTTAGGAATTCTTTGTATAGAGATAATATTTATTAGATATTATCACCAGTTAAATGTTATCTCTATTTTATCTCTGTATCTGCTATGTTTATAAAAGGAGAGTAGTCTCTGCAGAAGGAGAAATAATTCTCCTTCTCTTTTGTTCTCTCTCCCTACTTGTTCTTTCTCTCAGCTTTATAAATTTATTCTTCAGTTTATATTTCTAATATTAACCAAATTGTTTTCTTAAATTGGGGTTTCAAAATGGAAACTAAATCCACTAATGAACCAAGACAATATAATTAAACAAGATTACCATATAAAAAAAAAAAAAAACGAAGAAGGGGGATATATACTCATCACGTGTATCCAATAAACTTGTTTTTCACCATATTTTTGTCTTCTTGATTCTTATAATTAGTACTTTCTTTGTCTTACAATTATTCTCTAATTTAGATTTTATTTTTAGTTAAATTTGTATTAAAATTTAAAATTTAAAATAAATAATAATTTTGAAACAGAGAAAGTATTATTTACAGAGAAAGTATTATTTAATAATTTA